TTTTCTTTTTGCAGGCATTTTTTAGGCCATTAGTGATCCATGCACTGTGAGTTTGTTTGTGTCTCTCTCTGCATTGTTTCACAGGACAGTTTTTGTCATAAAGTGCTTTAAAGATGTTTAGAAATTCATCATAGGCCTTGTCAATATCGTCTCTCTCATATACTACCCTCCAATTCTGCTTTAGTAAGTCATTCTTTAATGCAATTATGTTATCTTGAGTTCTTAATCTTTTGTATTTTAAATGGCTGGCGACTTTCGGTTTCTTAGAACTGCAGTGATAGACAATAAAAACAGGTAAATGATCACTTATGTCACTATATAATAATCCGCCTACTGTATTGTTTTCCATAATGTTTGTGAATATGTTGTCTATTAATAGCAGAATGAGAAGTGATTCTACTAGGTCTGGTAATTTTAGGATACAAACCCATACTGCACAATGTATTGATGAAGTGTTCTGTCATTTTATGCTTATTTGGATTCAACAGGTCAATATTGTAATCCCCACAGATGAATATAATTTGTTGTATATATATAGTATCATGCAGGAGAAAGTGTTGCTACTCAATAGACTTAATGAAATGTATTTTGGCTGGTGCTCTGTTCTTTGCTATGGTCTAGGGGAGCAGCATCGGAGAAGACTCAATAAGGCTGGCTACGTCATCGGCTGCAAACCAGGCACTATTTTGCACCACAGGCCATAAGACTGCTAAAAACCTGAGCTCTGTTAAGTGCCTCGATAAACATTCATCTATTCGTCATCTTGCAAACTACTTATTCATCGAAATAGTTATCACCGCGATAAACTGTATTTCATTTTGTCTTAATGTACAATATTTAACTTCACATTCTGTTCTTGTATACATCATATTCTATTTACATGTACTGTATATAGACTTCATGCACTATATATGTTGCATCGTTGGAGGAGCTCGGGTCATAAGATTTTCATTGCCCTTTCTACACTGTAGCTTATGTGCATATGACAATAAAACCTTTGAATCTTGAATATATTAATCTTGTGGGGGAGTGAAGGACCCTAAACAAAATGGTTATCTATTATTGATAATCCTGACCGCCAGCTGCTGGACAGACAGGGGGGACCTTGTCATGCAGACCAATTCAGGAAATCATTCCTGCCAACAGCAAAGTCCCTCTGTAACAGCTCAACTAGAGCTAGCAGAGAAACATACAGTCGTTCCTTTAGTTGATCTATATCAATAACCCTAAACAATGACTAACTTGACTAACTCACTGGATTTAAATGTTCAAATAAAAACAACACATACTTTGTAATGTATACTACAGTACCCTTTGTTTCTGTTGTTTCAGTATAGTGGTCTATTAGTATTCTAATCTGTTTCTTTTATATGTATTCCTTAGATACCCCCAATAATCCACTTCTTCTCACTCAAACCAAGAGATTCAATCACCTTTACAAAGCTTGAATAAGGAGGAAGTATTTCTTGTTCTGAAACCAGAGATAAGATTGGATCACTTACACATGGAGTGAGTCATGAGAGGATGGACTTACTCATTTGATTTAATTAAGAATGTCTTTTATCTATTTGCCCTCTATTGGAACCTCAAGTTGTTGCTGAGCTATATGCAACAGTTGGGTTACAACTCGTTATTCCCCAGCCTATCCCTCTTCATAAATAATTCAAAATGAATCAGCCCGACGGAGAATACATTACTTGGTTTGCTACTGCTATTTCTCAATTTAAGGTACATATTAAAGAGCGCAATATAATTAGGTACTGGACTGTGAAGCAGCTCTGCGGACATTAGTCAGGGTGTGTGTGTGTGTGTTCGTGGGTGGGTGGGGGGGGGTGGATGGTTAGGGAGATGTGCCCTTTGCTTTGAAAGGGTACAAGTGTGTTTCGGTCTGTAGCGCTTCCGGCAAAGGCATTGTGAGAAGTAATAAGGGAATGAAAGATGTAAGCAAAGAAGGGGAAAAAATGAAATAATGATTTATAAAGATTTTGGTCTCATATGATACCATTTCATCACCTATGCTCTTTGTTTTAGGACCAGAACGAAACCTTAATTAGCTTCATAAACATATGCCATATGGACCAGCAGAGTGAGCAGGAGACAGCTCTTTAGCCTGTAATGGATGTTATATCACATAACCAAAGTAGGCGCACTTATATTAACCTTAACAATGATCTTTTTCCTGAAACCTAATGGGGTAGTTTTGGTGCCTTTACTGAATGAGCACAACAACACCACTCACAACACTCAGCAGTAGGCTACACATGTATCTGTTCAGTCATTGTTATTTGCATTATATAGTTATTTCAATTTCTCTCAGGGCACCAACATTCACTCTTTTTCCACCTAATTATGAGATTGTTAAAGGTCAGGTGAAAATCGTACTCCTGAGTAATATGGCTAACTAAATACAAAATGTTTCCTAATGCATATTACTGCTAAGAGGCTCCCGTGGCTCTGAACATGGTCTTCTTAGTATTTAATGCTTTCAATGAACCCTTCCTGTAATGCATTAGATGGATCTTTCCATATTCACATTATTCTGGGAAATCAATGTTGCTGCTGTCCATCTTGTGTTTATCTGGAACACAGAGTATTAAAAGTTGTTGTGGTTTCAATAAAGCCATGTGATGTGTTGTGCTCACATACCGCACGGGCCGCAGTATCTGCAGAAACATCAGAGGCGTATGTTTACTATAAATGTGCTGTCAAATTTAAACCCACATCTTGTGATCCGCGGCCCGTATCCGAACAAACCAGCTCGGATTACAACTCAAATGTTAACCAATTTAACTGTTGACAAGTACGGCCTCATGAAGAGTGTGTTGCTTTTAATTAATAATAGGAATCCTGATCATGGTCAAGAAGACGTAATGCTTAAACTCATTTTAAACCAAAGGAAAGTTTATAGCTTGGAGGTCTGCTTTGGAAAAACACTAATCAACATTTTGTCATCACAAAGATCATGGATGGACATGTCATGAGCCAATCCAACATTATTTTGGTTTGTGATTTCCTCCAGCTTTCATTGCAAGACTTGTCCACAGGTCAAACACCAAAACCCTTAAAAATATCAAACGCAGTGACTATATTCTAAAATGTATGAAAGGTTGAGAATAGGAATAATATTTTTTTGCTTTTTAAATCAACTTGCCCCATTACCTTTCCCCTCATCATCACCTTTTGGTTTCCAGAGAGTGATAATGAGTGTGGGGTTAGACGCACTCCGATCAAACGCCCTCACCCTGCTCCTCACAGTTCATTGACCGCCCCCAGATTAAAGATCAGGGCGTTACTCACTTTAAAGTTTATTGGGTTTAGTCAACCTTGTCTAATGAAAGCAGCTCGACTGTGGATGTGCGTTATCAACTCTCATCAGGTTCTGCAAATCTTCACACAGAATGTACAGATATGTGAACAAATTATAAATGGTTGCTTTGTAGTGTGTCATACCTTGCACATTTAATGGGAACATATTTTTTATAATTTATATTACATTTATATGAAAGAATTATCAAATTAAATCTATGACATTCACAGATATACACTGAAGATATCATATCTATAATGTGGGGATGAGATTGGAATAGTATCAAACATAGGTAACAAAAATAATTTTGGAATAAGAACATAACTAGAAATGCTTTAATCCAGAGTTTGGCTGTAGTCACCAGAGAGAGTATCTATCTGTGTCTTTCAAACTCTTTCCTTCTCTTTTTGCTGTTTTGCACTGATTTATTTTCCTTTTCTTTACTACAAGAAACACTAAACTCAAAATAAAATACGTGTGTCCTATTCGTCTTTTGTAGTTTTACAATGCTGCATTGGTTTGGGGTCCCTTTCTTTCATTTTAAAAGCTAAAATGAAAGAAAACACGAAATCCAATTCTAAATCAATAAATAAACTCATTATTCACTATTATCCATAGACTGTATATATAAAGCTATTATCTCATTAGTTCGGGTAATACAATGGGTTTGTGTTTTGTCTATTTTGAAAATAGCGCCCTTATTGTGTGAAGTGATAGGCTTGTTTGAGACGCGTTGCGGCTCGCCTCGAAAGTAGACGAGAAAAGCCGATCGCAGCCGGGGGAGGTCTCAAAAAGCTCGCCTGAAGTCGGACAGCTCGGAGTCGGCTTCGTCTTCTTCTCTCGGTTTTTTGGCGGATTGCAAACAACTTTAAGGTGCATACCGCCACCTCCGGAGTCGGCTTGACTCGGTTTGCATTTATAAAGAATGCACACATGTGTTTAATCGTTAATGTCAGATATGTACTAAGTAAATACATTTGTTCCTGCTCAAGATTAGATTCAACTTTATTGTTATTGCACATATTACAGGTACTGAGACAACGAAATGCAGTTTAGCTTCTAACCAGGTGCAACAAGCAGTAAAGTGAAAAGTAATGTACACAATCTACTGAATAAAATATAGAATGAATTGAATGATGAATAAACAGTGAGGGGTATGAATATACACACAGCCGCCTGTGAGCAGTATGAACAGTGTGTTTGAATATGCTAAGATATATAAAGTATGAAAACGGTAAGCAGTGCAAGTATATGTGATATGGACCTTGAGTCTGGAATAAAGATTGGATATGGATATAGTATAAAAATATATAGATATTCATTTCATGATGATAAACATTGTGGAACAATGATGAAAAATGAGAATGGAAGTGGCGACGTAAAACTGACACAAAACAACAACAAACTTTTGCCGAGCCAATTGGAGAGTTTCATCAGCAGCACGGGGTAAAAACCACCAATGAGCGCTCAGCTCGAGATACCAGCGAGTCCTTTCCCATCAAGCATTTCGCTTCCGCAGCCCGTGGAGAGGAACTGCGCCGCCTCACCGCGCCTCGCTGCGGGCGTCTTTGTCCCGAGAGATTTCAACGTCTCATGTAGGCGAGCCTCCAGAGCAAGTCGGACAAAATGACTAACCATCATGCAACGCACTAGCAAGACGTTGATCGCAACTGCGCAGGTCTCGCTTGTCTCAAACAAGCCTGTTGTCTTTTTCCAGATGGCCATGTGTTCACACAACTGTGACGTAGCAAGTCTAGAAAACAGTGATTGGTCGATGCAGCAACAAGGCCGTCCCTCCTCGATCTTTCATTGGATGCTTTTTTAAATCCCCTCCCCCTTATTGGCCTGCAGCGCGACTCAGCTATTGGCTGAATTCACGCACCGAAATTTTGAAAATCTGTGTTCTGTTCACGTCCACACAGTTTGGAGTTGCTGCACGGAGAAAGGAAGTTGGACAAAGATTACGACTGAATCTGTTCAAAAACAAAGGTGAAGGAAAACATTTCCCCGTAGGCCTAAATACATTTCAAGTATATTTCTTTAACGCAGTCAAATTGTTACTTTCTAATCTAGCGAGATTACGATGTAGTTGATTGTTTGTGTTGATTGAATTGAACACAGCTGCGGTGCTTTTACTTACTTACTTTTACTAGTCAAGGACGTTTAAAACTAGTTTATTTACGGTTTCATGCGTCATTCAATTCATGTAAACTACCGGAGCAAATTAAGTTCATTAATACTCAGAAACTCTTTTATTTAGCAGAAAGTCGCTGCCATGTTAACCGGGGAGGACGGTGCCCAGCTGCAGTGCTGTCTGACGGTGGAGCAGCTGAACTCCTCCGGAGAGACCACCCGGAGGCAGGTCATCCGCAAAGCCTCTATTCTTCTGGGCAGGAATGAGTTCCAGGAGATAATCATTCGGGTCCACGACGGAAAATTATGTCAAAATTACCCTCTGAAAGACTTCAAACTTTTTACAAAATTCGCCAGAGATGGGAAGTGCACGGTTAAAATGGTCCCCGAGAACACACAGCTGCTCTTCTCCAACTGCCCCCCTGACCGGCTAAACCTCTTCCTCAAAACGCTGAGCATCAAACACCAGGCCCGGCTGAGCAGCAAGCCTCTGACCGACCGAGAGAAGCTCAAAGCCGGCCTGCCCCGCAGCTTCGAGGCCATCAGCCCCCTGCAGCAGAAGGATATCCAGAAGGTGAACGATCTGAGGAGCAAAGAGCCTCCCAAAGGACTGGCAGACCGCACCAATAGCACCGCTGTGGCAGGGTCAGGGAAGCAGGTCAAAAGGTCGAGGAGTGACACTAACTTCAGCCCAGTAAGTGGATTAACAACCACCTTTAATTTCTTGTACATTTTCTTATTTTACCCACACCTACTTCAAGTTCCAAGGCTTTATTGTCCTTAGCACATTAGCTACAATGTAGATATGGCAATGAAAAACGTAGGTCACAGGCTCCTCCAACCGTACACCATATAGGACATAGAACAAATAAAACAGATACAATGGGGCAATTTAGAGAATGTTTGGAACTGTCAACTAAATACAAATAAAATAGAAATAGTGCAAGAAGAGTCTACAAGTAAATGGAATGATATTTATTAGATAAATAATTTGAGAGATGCACACGGATTAATGCTTTTTTTTTTTACAGAGTTCAGGTTTTTAGCAGTCTTAGTGGAATAAAACTGTCCCTGAGTCTGGTGGTACTTTTTACCGAAAGCGGTGGTTTTACTCTTTATTTATTGTATCTAATCTGTTAAATGTGTCCTCGACTATGTGTTTATTTTAGGTAAAGGCCAACCCGAGCAAGAAGCCCATCCTGGCTCTCCCATCACGTAAACTGAATAAAGACCAGTCCGCTGTCCTCACTGCTGTGCTGAGTGGGAAGAACGTCTTCTTCACTGGAAGTGCAGGTGAGTGTATGACAGTGAAAACAATGTATGCATCTTTATAAAAAGTTTCTAATTACTAGATGTCAAAAATATGACCTGGCAAGATGCACTCTGCATAACTTTCTTGCTGAGTTGTGTTATTTCTTACTGATGCTGCTATTAAGGCAACATTTCCTAATCTAAATATTTTTTCATGACATTTATGCTGCTTTTCCTCTCGCATTGTGTGAAATTGTTTATCTTGAGCTGTTTTTCAAGGTGTTATTTTTCAGGCACAGGAAAATCCTTCTTACTAAAGAGAATCATGGGATCTCTTCCTCCAAAGAGCACATTTGCCACAGCCAGCACAGGAGTGGCGGCGTGTCACATCGGAGGAACAACGTTGCACAGCTTCGCTGGTGAGTCATTTTGTGTCTGAGGATATAAAATTGATTTTATGTAAGACTGAAACAAATGTGTCTCTGAAAATGACACATAATTAGATGTAAGAGGTGCATAGAGGTTATTACTCCTCCCTAATTATCCAAATAATTGGGTGAATTTTCAGTTTTTTTATAAAGGACTATCTTCACATTAGACTGTTTGGGGTAGAGTCCATGTCGGTAGAGTAGCCTATTTCCCCCTGCGGATTATTCTTTTTTTTATTAATTATTTTGTAATCAAGTAAAGATAGCCCAAAGTAGCATCTTCAAATTGCTTAATCCGACCCAACAAACTAAAACTAGTGAACGTCTATTTGAAAAATGACTGAAACAAGTATCAGTGTTCAGCTATACTTATCAACGAGGGCTGTTACAGTAAACTCAAACTAAAATAAGCAGTGACAATTGTTGTGAACTGAAACACAAATTACAATATTCTCTAAGAATAACTGCTAAACTGTATTGCCTTGTAAAAAATCTACAGATTGGATTTCTTAAAGTTCTTGACCACACATGATTTAAACATTATGGTTCAAATGCCATTTTAAATGTTTTTCAACTAAACCTGGAAAAGTCATGGAAATTAAAAATGCTAATTCCAGGTCCTGGAAAAGTTATGGAAAACAATATTTTTCCCAAAGTCATGGAAATGTAACTAAAGTTGCATCAAATATAATTTATATGTTATCTAATCGCCAAAATAGTAATACTATAATGATAATAAATACTGTATAGTAATGAAACGTAAAATGTAATTTAACTGTCGAGGTATTTTGCTGGTGAGAGATTTTAGTTTCTTTAGCGTGTGAAGCTAGTAAGCCTATTTGTTTTAGATAGGCACAACATGTTTCATATGTAGACCTTATTTTCCTGTTCCACGTTAAAATAAACCATTTTCAGTGGTACCGCTGAGAAAGAGTAATGTTTTGGTCATGGAAAGTCATTGATAATCATTGGGGAAAAAGTATGAACCCTGAGGTACTATCTTCACAATTATGAGATGAAAGACCTTACACTTGCAAACAATATAAATAAAAACTAAACCTTTCCGAAAAACTGAAACGACTTGAAAACCCTCTCGGAAAACTAACTAAACAAATCTAGATAAACTTTTCAGTCAAAACTAAAGTAATATAGAAACAAATAAAAATATGTCAAGCCTTCATAAACTCACTTATGGTGTCTTCTGTACCTTGCTGATGCCTTTGGGTGATTATGAATATTTAATGTAATCAAGCAGAAGGAGTCTGATGTTTTTGATTAAATGTCAATAAACAGCAGAGGGTATGAATTGAGTATGTGCATAGGTGTCGAGTAATTTGCGTCCCCTCTGACCATCTGTCCCTCCTGTCCTCGGGCGCTCTCAGGGATTGGCTCCGGCTTGGCCCCTCTGGAGCAGTGCATCGAGCTGGCCCAGAGGCCGGGGGTGCTGCAGCACTGGACCTCCTGTCGGCACCTCATCATCGACGAGGTCTCCATGGTGGAGGCCCAGTTCTTTGATAAGCTCGAGTCTGTGGCAAGGTGAGGCAGCAGTCTGAAAAATATCACCTTGTTATGCTACAGTACACTCACTGGCCACTTTATTAGGTACAACTGCAAATACCTAATCAGCCAATCACATGGCAGCGACTCACTGCATTGAGGCTTTACAGAGAATGTTCAGAAAAAGAGAAAATATCCAGTGAGCGGCAGTTCTCTGGGCGAAAATGCCATTTGATGTCAGAGGAGATTGGCCAGACTGGTTCAAGATGGTAGAGGCAACAGTAACGGCAATAACCACCGACAAATCTACAGCAACTGCGTGATGCTATCATGTCAATAATGGACCAAAATCTCTGAGGAATGTTTCCAGCACCTTGTTGAGTCTATGCCACGAAGAATTAAGGCAGCTCTGAAGGTCCAACCCCGTACTAGCAAGGTGTACCTAATAAAGTGGCCGGTGAGTGTATGTTTTTAAGGTGTTTGCGGCTGTTAAAGCTTACATAGCTATATATATATATATATATATATATATATATAGAGAGATTACTTATTTTATTCAAACCCTTTCCTGAAAGTATTTGATATATCTTTTTCCTGTGCTAATGATTCCTTTAAGCTCTAACCACAGAACTGTGATGTTATACTTATTGGCATCTTAACACAACCAACACATTATACAGATTAACATCCTGTTCCTGTGGTTTCAGACATCTGTTGGGTAAAGGCATACCTTTTCATAAACCTGGAACCACTTTTTAAATGTAAGAGTTTAATCTAAATTAAACAATAAAAACAATTTGAATCTCTGTTATAACCAAATTATTTTTGCAATATGTGAAATTCAGATTTTAAATGCACACTGGGAACATTTTAAATGTTACACATAGACTCAAATTTCCTCTTCAATATTCATTCACAGTGAAGTGTTCCTCAGAGTTTCACTGATGGTGTTTGAGCACATCATTCAAGCAGGACCATTTTTAACACATCCAGTGTTGATTCCAATTCCTTACGTGTGACAGTATTTGGGTTTGGTTAGAATCAATTTCCTATTTTATTGAAGCTCGGCAGTGCTCGGATGTGTGTTATATTGTGTGACGCATTGCAGATTTTTTATGAATTTTTAAAGGCTATCTGAGGAATAATGACAATTCTGCAGCCATGAAAAAAAATATAATCACAAAAGTCATCTTCAGTGCAACTTCTTCTCTCTGCGCTCTAATAGGTCGGTGAGGAGGTCGACCGCGCCGTTTGGAGGCATCCAGCTGATCATCTGTGGCGACTTCCTGCAGCTGCCTCCTATTTCCAAGGGAAAGGAAAAGGCCAGCTTCTGCTTCCAGGTCAGACCGTAAAGCTCTCTTTGTTTGTCATTGATTTGGTAACACTGTATCAGGAAGCTGAAGGGGATTGGAGCGGTTGGGCAATTTACACTGAAACGTAAAAACCGTTTTGTGATCTAATGCGCTTCAACAACAAAAATCCTCCTTTTGCTCTTAATAGAGAAATATAATATTATGTTGACATTGTTAGAGTTTTCTCAGCTGATTTATATTGATATTTTTTAGGTGTATTTGGTAATGGGATTTTCAATATTTCATGTGCTTTAAATATGTAAATGAAAGTAAACATTGGGTAACCGTTTGTAATTGTGTTATTTCCATCTATGAATCATTCGTACCATAATTTATCATAATAAAGTGAAAATGTCCTCCCCAGCTTCTCAAAGTTCAAGGGGATGTCTTTTCAAGATATCTTGTTCAGTCTAATACCATACGGTACATGTCAATGTGATGTAAACCAGAGAAAAGCTGAACATATCCATATTTGAGCGCATGAGACTGCAATTTCTGCCGTTTCAAATGAAAAACCCTGAAAATTGATCCATTTTGAAACAGTTGGCCATTTTCTTTCTGTTAAACCATCAAAGCAAAATGTTGCACTTCTCCATGCAAGTCACTTCTTTACGGAGTGATTCATTCTGTTGACATGAGTCACAACAGTTCCACACACTATCCATCAGGATAATTTATGGATGTTTAAAAAAAAAAAAAAAATACTCTTTCTGCTCCTTCAGGCCAGGAGTTGGCGTAAGGTGATCCAGGTCAACATGGAGCTGATGGAGGTGCGGAGGCAAACTGACCAGTCATTCATCTCCCTCCTCCAGAAAGTGAGAGTGGGCAGGTAAATGAATGGTCACTGCTCCTTCTCCCCCGATTTCATTCTAAATGTGTATCTTTCTATTGAGCAAATGTGATCCCAATGCACCCCACTTTATACCAAATGTACAAGATAATGTGTGTAGTTATGTGTTACATAAATGCATGTTTAGCTGTTAAAGGCTTTTCAGGCACAGCAGGTCATTTTGTATTCTACAGAACATTTGTGCTGAGCTGGAAAAAAAAATGGCTTTACTAAAGGAAAAGTTCCGTCTTAATTAACACCATTCAGGGTGACGGAGGAAGTCACTGCTAAGCTGATGGAAAGCGCCTACCATCGCATCGAGAAGGACGGCATTCTGGCGACCAGGCTGTGCACGCACAAGGATGACGTGGAGCTCACAAACGACAACAAACTCCAGCAGCTGCCAGGTTTGACTTCTTCTGTCTGATTAGATTTTCTATTTTCAGTTCGAAACAGGCGCTACTTCCTTTGGCTTGGATCCAGGTGGAAACTAACTAATTGTTAGCCTCGATGCACCTTGTGAAAGCCGTTTCCTAGAGTGTCAGCCAGATGCCACTTATTTTCTGTTGTATCCTGTTCCGCTTAACTTTTATTTTGTAAGCAGTAGCATATCAGAAGTGCGAACCACCAACATTTGTCATGATCCTTAAAGAGCAACTTGCAGGTTAGACACACCTGTGAATAAATGTGTAGGAAAATGATGTATTCACTAGATTTTCAAAAAAATATACATAAATATACACTACAGTGACATCTGCCGTTGTTTTTGTAAGACATTTTTACTTCTGCATAAAACAAGCCTCCGCACGTGACCTCCCGCGTGAGACGTAACATGAGGGAGAGCTGCCGGTCTAATGTATGAATAAACATGGATCACAATGCTAGTTTTGACACAGAAGAGGTTGAAAATATACATTCCAATGCATATAATTATAATTATGAGCCTGCTAGGCGTCCAAGAGACCAGGAGCAGCCAAGGATTAGAAAAAATAACGGCCATCGGAGAGAAATGGAGCTTTGGTGTGAGGAGAACCAGTGGAGAACAGAGCAGCTGTCTTGGTGAGTGACCGGCGTTAGCTACAGTTAATGTTAGCTAACGTCAGTCACATCACAACATTGTAAAGTTATCATATATCAGGCTATAACTAAAGTAGCATTGATAATATAGTAACGTTACTTACTGGCAGGACTGTTGATACTGATCCATAACAGAAACTAATGCGCAAGTATCAGCCGTATCTCGCGTTACCTAATGCAGGAGCGAAGGGGGGGAGAGAGGAGCGAAGGGGGGGGGGGGAGAGAGGAGCGAAGGGGGGGAGAGAGATGTAATACGGTTTCCTGATAAATGTTTTGTTTGATAGGCTTCAGCTGTGGAGAGTATGTGCTGTAGGGGGGTGGATGCACAACGCACCCAGGAATGAAAGCTAGGTCCTTTTCCCGTGAGGGAAACTGTGGACTCGATGTCCTGACAGGCTCGAGTTTGTGCAACCTGCACAAACTCAAGCTCACCATGATTTAAAAATTGTGAGATGCAATGTAAAATTACCGAAAACATACCAGCTCACTAAATCACAACCGCTCAAACCAACTACAAACTACTACCGCGGATTGGGCAGAGAAGGAGTCCGAGAAAGTTGCTCCCCCATGTGACGTAATATGACGCGTTTTTAGTAGCAGAGCGAGAGAATTCCTGCCCTTACTGTATGTCTTGTAAAACATATCAAATACTGCATTATCTTTTTTAATTGTAATTTTCAGGCAAGGTTAAGCATAAATGTAGTAAAAGAAAAAAACCATTAATCTTTAAACCATTTCTTTGGTTTCTTACTCTGATTTCTTTACATCACTGTTTGCCAGTTTCATCACGTCATAGTTCTATTTAAAACTGCCTGAATATTAACAATAAAAGGAAAACGATTATATATGAATGTTACGTTCCCACTTGGCTAGGGTACAAACGGGAAACGACACGACCAGATTGGATTTGGTATTGTTACCGGTGGTTTTATTGTCACTGAAACTAGGCAAAATGATGGTCACACAGATTGGCCCCACAACACGGGTCAATCTGTCACTATAATCCAACACAAAGGGTCTCCAAAAGAGAGTTGCCCCGCTATAGAAAGAAAAACAAATCTCACTACTCAAGTGGAAACAAGCAATAAACAAAACGGGACTGTGGAAACACACAGCTGGTGCGGGTCTACGCAATATCCACTCACAGGAACGCTGGTCTACAGGTGCTAATCAACCTGGATCTAAGCAGTATAAACACACAGGAATGCTGGTCTACAGGTGCTAATTAACCTGGATCTAAGCAGTATACACACACCCAAAATCCCTACGCTAACACAGAACCCGACGACACACTGCTACTCAGTGTGCTCGCCTAGAACCCTACTATAGACACTGCTAATCAGTGGAGCTAATACCAAAGACACACACTAAATCTCAGAATTCACAGAATGAAGGCTTATCACAAGGATAGGGTTGAGGCATCTGACACAAAATACAGAGCCTCCCGACTGTTGTCCGTGCTCAGCCTTTATACTCCTCCCCCGGATGACGTGGCAGAAGCGAGCAGGGGTTGGGCGACGTCTGTCCAATCCCCGCGGATGTTGAGCGGTCCGGACGGCCAATGACAGCAGAGGAACTGCACAGCTCATTTACATACACAAACAGACTTAAGCTCACAAGGTAGCAGCGGCTGTAACACCCCCCCCCCCTTAAAACACAAACCCCACAGGGTTTTTGTGAACCATAACACATCACACACCATGACCACAGACCACATCACTCCAGTCTGGACAGAGCATCTGCGAACACGTTCTCTGAGCCTTTCTTGTGTCGGATTTGCAGGTTGTAGTCCTGAACGATCAGAGCCCACCGCATGAGACGCTGATTGTGGTTGTACATGCGGGACACAAAGACAATGGGGTTATGATCGGTAATCACTGCAACCGGCAAAGAACTAGACCCGACATAAACCTCAAAGTGCTGGAGAGCTAACAACAAAGCAAGGGTCTCCTTTTCAATGGTAGAGTAGCGTACCTGGTGTTTGTTGAACTTACGGGAGAAATAGCAGACAGGATGATCAACTCCCGCCGCATCTTCCTGCAGTAAAACAGCACCGGCCCCCACTGCACTAGCATCCACCTCGAGTTTAAAGGGCTTCGCAAGATCGGGAGCAGCGAGCACAGGAGCGTGACTCAAAAGTGTCTTTACACACTCAAATGCATGCTGGCACTCAGGGGTCCAAACATATTCCACCTTGGGACTTATCAACCTAGTTAGGGGTTGAGCTACAGTGGAGAAGTTACGGCAGAAACTGCGGTAGTAGCCTGCCATACCGAGGAAACGGCGGAGATCACTCCTGGTGCCGGGCACCGCACATTCAGCCACCGCAGTAACCTTAGCCTCCACTGGTCTAACTTGGCCTTACCCAACCTGCTTTCCTAAATAGGTGACCGTAGCTTTACCAAACTCACATTTGGCCAGATTCAAAGTAAGAGACGCCTGTGCGAGCCGGGTGAATACCTGCCCCAGAATCTTCATGTGCATCTCCCATGTGGGCGTGTACACAATGAGGTCATCCAAATACGCGTTACAATGGCTTATTCCAGAGAGGACAGTATTCACCAATCTTTGAAATGTAGCGGGAGCGTTACACATACCAAACGCCATTACTGTATATTGCAGGAAACAGTCAGGCGTAGCGAAAGCGGAGATTTTTGAGGCACGGTCCGTTAAAGGTACCTGCCAGTAACCTTTAAGTAGGTCCAATTTACTGACAAATTTAGCGGAACCTAAATTATCAATGCAATCCTCCATTCTCGGCAATGGGTAGCAATCTGTTACCGTAACAGCGTTCACTTTACGGTAGTCCGTAATAAATCGCGGAGAACCATCAGATTTCGCCTCTACAAGACACGGCGAACACCATGGGCTAGAGCTCTGTGTCGCCAGGCCATTTGCTACAAGATAGTCAGCCTCCTGTTTCATAAGTGCGCGTTTGGTGGGATTGGCGCGGTACGGATGTTGTTTGATTGGCCTCGCACCTTTTACATCAATGTAATGTTTTATCACATTAGTTTGGGTGGGGACATCATGGAAAAGGCACGGGAAATCATCCACCAACTGGGTTACGTCATTCTGCTGGCTCTCCTGCAGATGACCTAACGTGGTCGGCAGTGTCTCTACCATCTCCGAGTTGCATAACCGCGCACCCGGCTGGTGATGTGAGCGCATCACCAACCCGTCGTCAGAGGAGCCGGAACTATCTACCACTATTAACGCCGAAGCAGCCACTCTTTGATTACATGAGCCGGCTGGCGTACTATCAATGACGGTGCGTGCATGATATCGCTTCAACATGTTTACATGGCAGACACGCGTTTTTCGTCGTCTCTCGGGAGTACCAATCACGTAATCGGTGTCGCTGAGGCAATCACGGATTTCATACGGCCCGAGGAATTTGGCTGAGAGCGCAGAGCCGGGGATAGGTAATAGTGCGAGGACCTTGTCACCTATGTCAAAGTGCCTAGGGACAGCGGCACGGTCATAATTTCGCTTCATAACCGCTTGTGAAGCGGAGAGCGACTCTCTGGCGAGTGAATTTGCTCGGTGCAAACGCTCACGGAACTGACTAACGTAATCTAGTACGTTCGTATCTGGAGGAGTATCAGCCGAAAGAAACTCATCGTGTAGGATTTTAAGTGGACCGCGGAGCGTATGGCCGAAAACGAGCTCCGTGGGACTGAATCCTAATGACTCCTGAACAGCTTCACGGGCTGCGAACAAAACGAAAGGAATTCCCTCATCCCAATTTTTTTCTGTCTCCATACAGTATTTTCGCAACATACTCTTTAAAGTCTGATGCCACCGTTCTAATGCCCCCTGCGACTCTGGATGATACGCACTGGATATCACATGTTTAACCTGCAGTATTTGTAGGACCTGTTTGAACAATTTAGATTTAAAATGTGTCCCTTGGTCACTTTGGATTACTCGCGGAATTCCAAATGTAGAAAAGAACTTCGTCAAGGCCTTAACTACAGATGTTGAAGTAATGCTACGCAGCGGAATCGCTTCCGGAAAACGAGTCGCCGTACACATTATCGTGAGTAAATACTGTTGACCTGTTTTCGTACGTGGTAAAGGACCAACACAGTCTATCAACACCCGGTCAAAGGGCTCACCTATAGCCGGTATGGGATGTAACGGAGCCTGCGGAATTTTTTGATTAGGCTTACCGACAACCTGGCACACATGACAGCAGCGGCAGAAGCTAGAGACATCTTTCTTTAAACCTGGCCAAAAGAAATGCTTCAGAATTACTTGATACGTTTTAGTCACGCCCAAGTGTCCCGACCATTGACTTTCATGCGCGACAGATAGCACATGTTGACGGTATGGCACCGGCACGACTACTTGCTGCACTACACTCCAGTCAGCTTCAGCAGTAGCAGTGAGGGACCATTGGCGCACTAATATCTCCTTATCCAACACATAAGCCACCTTCTCACCCCTTGCTTTGTCATTACTCACCACCTGCTCGAAACACTTCACAAGCGTCGGATCCGCCCTCTGCGTGGCGAGTAAACGCTCTCGGGTTACCGGGAGTGTGGAACCGTCAACCGCTGGGCTGGCAGGGTGCGCTGGTGCAGCGGTTCCAGCCGGGAACGCGGAGGATGCAGAAACCTCCACTGCTGGCTTTTCCTCCGGTATTTTGTCCTCTGTGAATATTTTCCCAAACATAGTATCATCTAGAGACACCTCCGAGTTACTCTTACGCGCTTGCGCGCGAGTGACAGCACAAATAGGGAAAATGTGGGCCTGGGTTACTTCAGGCACTACAAGCTAAGGAGAATCCAATATTTCTAATGCAGGGGTTACCTTACCCCCTGCGATGTCATTTCCCATTAGGAAAACTATACCCCTTATGGGTAATGCTGGGCACACAGCAACAGGGAAAAATCCAGTAATTAATTTACATTGTACATTATGTACGGGCCGGGGCACATAACCCATTTCAATGCCACATAAAGTCGATCCATACCCACACGCTGATTGTTCGGAAAATGGTAGAGCCGAGGCAACAATCACTGACTGTGAGCCTCCCGTGTCTCGTAGTATGCGGACGGGTCTCTGATCGTCTGACTCACCTGTTAGTGAAATCAATCCCTCGAACACAAAAGGCTTAAAACAGGGATCTATTTCCTCCGCATTGTCAGGTGTGGAAATACTGAGTGAGTTAGTGTTAATCAAGCCGATGCCTTTCGGCCTGGTCACGTTTGGTGACTGCTCCTTCCGCTTCAGCATTAGGCAATTATTAATGAGATGCCCAGGCTGATGACAATAGTGACATTCTCTCCCCTCTTTGTCCCTCGTAAACACTCTCGTGGGCTGACCAACAGGTGCACCCGACATGCGGCGAGAGTTCTCAGCAATAGCCGGAGAAAACACCGTTTTATGCATCAACACATATTCGTCTGCCAGTACAGCAGCTGCGGAGAGAGATTGCACTTTCTGATCATTTATATGCCCCACAATACGGTCAGGTAATCCCCTCTTAAAGTCCTCCATCAGGATTAATTCTTTAAAGGCAGAATACTCTGCAGCGTCACATGAATCAATTCATTTATGGAGCAACATCCCCTTCTCCCTGGCATACTCGACATGTGTTTGATTAGCCCCCTTTCTGTGATTCCTGAACTTCTGCCGATAAGCCTCGGGAACTAACTCGTACACCCTAAGTATGGCACGCTTGACCAGGTCGTAGCTTAGGCTGTCCTCCAGTGAAAGAGCAGCAACCGCCTCCTGAGCTCTCCCGTGAAGTTTACACTGCACTAACAGAGCCCAGGCGTCAGTCGGCCACTGTAATGCCGCTGCCATGCGTTCAAACGCACCAAAATACGCATCCACTTCAGCCTCACGGAAAACCGGCACCAACACAAAATGTTTCCCTACATTGAAGGCAGGTGGATGAGAATGAGGTGAGGAACTTCCTCCGACATGGCCAAAAGCACCGGAGGCACGCAGCTTGGAGTCTAGCTCCAGCTGACGTATCCGCACTTCCTTGTCAATTTCTAACTTTCGTAGCTCCAGCTGTAACTGCCTGGCTTTCTCCCTGTCGTCAGCTTCCCACTGACGCTGCCTGTCCTTGGCTTCCAACTGGAGCCGGACGAGACGGACCTTGAGTTTAGCCCCCTCCCGGGAATCTGTACTACCAACAGGAGAGGGTGGACATCTGCGAGGTGACGTGAGCGGTGCCTCACACGGCTCGCCCTCCTCGCTGTCACTACCCCTTCCTTCAGTAAACGTAAACTCTGCCTCAGTCTCTGGACGCAACAGGCCCTCAGTGGGAACATCGGACACTGGGAGCTCAGCTGGTACAGCCGGTACAAGTACCTCTCTTCGCACCATCTCATCAACCACCAATGCCTTGAACTCTTTTTTTAACATTTGCCGATTTACCACAAGACTGAAGTGCCGCGCTATCTCCATCAAATCATCCTTTCTACACCGGTCCAGCTGCTCATAGGACGGCCAGACCAAGAACGCCTCTATATCGAACGATGCCATACCTGAGTGTACCGCCCACACGTTTACCAAGTTTACTGCCACAATAAACCCACCTATAACCCCAGGAATTGTTTTAAATGTATCCCGGACGAGCCCCCACGTGTTACGTTCCCACTTGGCTAGGGTACAAACGGGAAACGACACGACCAGATTGGATTTGGTATATTTGTTACCGGTGGTTTTATTGTCACTGAAACTAGGCAAAATGATGGTCACACAGACTGGCCCCAGAACACGGGTCAATCTGTCACTATAATCCAACACAAAGGGTCTCCAAAAGAGAGTTGCCCCGCTATAGAAAGAAAAACAAATCTCACTACTCAAGTGGAAACAAGCAATAAACAAAACGGGACTGTGGAAACACACAGCTGGTGCGGGTCTACAGGTGCTAATCACCTGGCTCTACGCAATATCCATTCACAGGAACGCTGGTCTACAGGTGCTAATCAACCTGGATCTAAGCAGTATACACACACCCAAAATCCCTACGCTAACACAGAACCCGACGACACACTGCTACTCAGTGTGCTCACCTAGAACCCTACTATAGACACTGCTAATCAGTGGAGCTAATACCAAAGACACACGCTAAATCTCAGAATTCACAGAATGAAGGCTTATCACAAGGATAGGGTTGAGGCATCTGACACAAAATACAGAGCCTCCCGACTGTTGTCCGTGCTCAGCCTTTATACTCCTCCCCCGGATGACGTGGCAGAAGCGAGCAGGGGTTGGGCGACGTCTGTCCAATCCCCGCGGATGTTGAGCGGTCCGGACGGCCAATGACAGCAGAGGAACTGCACAGCTCATTTACATACACAAACAGACTTAAGCTCACAAGGTAGCAGCGGCTGTAACAATGAATATAAAACAATTGCCTCTAAATAATAACAATATTTTAGCCTGTGAAATGAATCTCTGCATGTCCCTTTTTTTTAGGTTCAGCTCGTGTGTTTGAGGCGCTGGACAGCGACCCCGCCCTGGTGAAGACGATCGATGCTTACAGCCCCGTCAGCAGACTGATCCAGCTCAAAGTGGGAGCGCAAGTGAGTGAACTTCTCCACAATCTACTGCAATGTGGCATAACACTGCACTTTCTATACGTGTCGTAGTGGCAACGGAGCACTCGGTTTGAGTAAAGGCCTTTTTTTAATGTGGTGATTCTTCTCCTTAAGGTCATGCTGACAAAGAACCTGGATGTCGCTCGAGGTCTGGTGAACGGAGCGCGGGGCGTTGTGGTGGCCTTTGAGAATGGAAAACATGGTCAGTATTTCATTTATGGATGGGGATTCATTAATTACAAAAGCCAGAATATGCCCTTAAGTGACAATAGAATAGCAGAAGATTACTTTGAGGGATAGTTGGAGGATTTAATAGAAAACTAACTTATTTTAATGTTGTATCGGCAAGCAAAAAAAAGAAGACAAATGGCTTTTTAATGCCATGGATTATGTCTCTCCAGTTTTTGTCCAACCATGTACTGACTCATTCACCGTCTTCCCAGGACTCCCACGTGTGCATTTCCTGTGTGGCGTCACTGAGGTGCTGAAGCTTGAGCGCTGGATGTTTAAGTCGGGTGGAGGGCTCCACCTGAGCCGACAGCAGCTGCCACTCAAACTGGCCTGGGCCATCTCCATCCACAAGAGCCAGGTTGGTATCGTGCTTGAAAATACTGAAACAAATGCTACAGAAATCACCGCGATGAAATCCCTTAATCTTGGTGGAAACCCTCTTCTTCAGTGTAGCTGAAGTACAGCAGTGTTGCTTTTCATGAATGCATAACTAACTCGGCAATCCGAATTCAATTAGCCTGAAACAAATAAATATATATTTTGTATTGCATTTATAGTGACCTAGACCTCCAGGAATAGCTTCAGGTTAGATTGAATTTTCTGAGTGGACCTTGAAACTCAATAATTGTCCACTAATAGAGGGGACATTATTTACTAATCAACAGGTGAGGGGAGATGTGAGCGTTGTCAGAAATACAAACTGTGTTCGGATAGAAATAAATCTTTTTTTTTTTATAAGATATGTTTCCTTGAATTCACTAGTAGTCTATTATAACTACATTTTATTTATTCTTTAGTTTGTGACAGCAGCACAGCAGTGGAGTCATAAAACTTGCAGGCACTATGTCACTCTTAAATCAATATTATAGTCATTGTCGTGAAATGTTCTTTCTGTAGCGCCTCCAGCAGGACTTTTTCCCTTTTTAAACATCTACCAAAACTATTTGCGATACATTATGACTGAACATTTTGATTCCTGTTGGATTAATCGTAAAAATTGACTCATCATGCAGGAGGTTGGGCTCGGACCGGTCGAAAGTGTTTTTGTGTACATCAAGTGGGACACAGTACACTATATTGAGTAGCTTTGCTGTTTTGTACTATTTGTTGTAATGTAGTTTTCTAATGGGTAGCAGAGTGGATTCTGAATGCACTTCTGGTTTAGATTTAAAGAGTTCGTTCAGTGCTATTTATACCACTATTTCCCCAATCCTACATTTCATTGTGATGGATAGCCAGGCTCTCTACCTCGCTGAGCCATTAACAGAGTGAGAGTATTGTAAATCTCCTGGTTTACTGAGAGAACGTGCAGTGTTTCGCTGATATACATCCAGCACCACTGATCAACCTTTTACATCTCAAATGTAACACCAAGAAACGCTTGCCTTTTTTTTAAACTAATATTTTGTACTGTTGTCAACAAACGATGGCAAACTATTTGTTATAAGTGTTTGAGCGTGAAATTCAAGAAGCTTGTATTTCTTTTATAATACTTGTCGCAGTTTGCCTATAGCTCACCCCTCCTCGCTTCCTTTCCTTTGTCGATGGGCTGCCTGAAAAAGGCAAGAACATGAAAGAAGATTGAGGGGAAAAAAGCACACGCACACAGGGACTATAGGGACCTGGATGGACAAATAAAAGAGAGGGAAAAACACTAACCTGATATTACCGCCACCACAAATGAGCTGTAATTGTGTAATCGCCAATCACTCAGCTGCCTCACCAGCAGCTCCCACAGCAAAATCTATATCCTGACATCAGACACCCGCTCAGGTAATTGAGGAAATTGGTCAGACTAAATGTCCCCATGTTTGATCTACAGCCGGGGAGATAAAGTATGGGGAAATGTAAAAAAAGAAAAAGGGGAATCCCCCAGCTGAATCAATTTTTTTTTATTTGAAAAGTGGTGGCATATGGCCTAATATCTGAGAATAGCAAGCTGGGATGGAGGTTTTGCCAAAGTAGCTTTTTGTATCTTGTTCAATTTCAGTATCAATTTGCTATCAATACTTATTTAGACTGAAAAAGTCTGGGTTGTTAATGTCAGTCTATGTTTTTTTAAATGAATTTTAGGGAATGACACTCGACTGTGTGGAGATTTCTCTGGCACGCGTCTTTGAGAGTGGCCAGGCTTACGTTGCCTTGTCCCGGGCTCGGAGCCTGGAGGGTCTGCGGGTGATGGACTTCGACCCCCGTGTGGTCAGGGCGGATCCAGATGTTCTCGTCTTCTACAAGAGACTGAGGAAGGAGAGGATCCTCATGCAGGTGAGTGCAGAGCTCTCATGGAATACATCCTATAATAATAATGTATGACTCATAAAACCCATTTGAAACGTAGCTCGTAGAAGTCACACTACATGGTAGTGCTGCAAAAGGTCAGTTAAAAAATATACTTATTCATCTTGTAATAACTTTCTTTGTCTCCACTGCCCTCTGCAGGCCTCTATGGACGATTTTATTGGCAACAGCAACCAAGAAAACCCTTGGTGAGAAGCTGAATCCATCTCCTGTGACATTATGCACCGTGTGCATCATTTATGCTGTGATTATCCACATCAACTCATCTTGGACCATTGGTTTTCTCAAATGGCGGCAACCACTGGCCTCTACAATCACGGTCTACTTCGATTTCGGTTTAAACCGGCAGCACTTGAAGGCACACTGCCATCTCCTGGTCATTTGTTTTGATATGCTCATTTCTATGCCTTGATTGTTAATTTATTATGATTGTTGGTATATACTCAAATAAAGTTTTAGCACATTTGTATCTCTGCTTGTACTGTAGTTTTATCATTGAGCGGTCTTATTGACCTTCCATCACAATACATTTAATGGAAATTATTTTAAATGCAGCTGATAACCATATTAGAGTGGTTATGTGAGACAACAGGTGTGCTTGACACCTGTTGTCTCACATAACCACTTTCACCTTAATTGTTAATTAAATGAATAGTTCAAGGCCAATAAACGGGGCATTTGTCGTCTGAAATGGGAAAACTCTTAATTTATTAGTCATGCCACCGAAAAATCAAATGTGTCAAAATGATGCAACTCAGACATACTGAAAACCAAAGACAACCTTTATTCCTGGTCAAAGTGATGAATCCATGACCGAACCGGAGTTTAAATATGCATCGTCAGTGCAGCATGATTGCTTATTCATGTGAACTTCAGTGAGAGATGGTTTGAGCCCCTTCTTTGCACCTGTTACAACTTTGATGCACTCATTACCATACAAGCAGTGACTCGGTATACAGGAAGGTTGGCATTTAGTTTTACAGTCTCAATAAAGTTCATTTACATTAATACACAGGAGAAGAACAACACTACAGTCTTTACAATGTTAGACTCTACAGCTGCTGGTGAGAGCTGGACAGGACGTTTCATTTCACTTTGTGGAACAGCTTGTGCGCCACCTATAAAGAAATGAGAACACAATTAGCATTTTTGAAGTCAAACATACAAATCAAGTCACATGCAGTCGGGTTTCTCCTATGCCATTTGGGCACTTACACAATGGTCCCGTGCGTGCAGGAAGTCAAAGAGTTCTTCTGTGCATTCCTCTAGTGTGTTGGATTTAGAGCCGACTCTGCTTTCACATGTCTCCAGCAGCTCCTTGTAGTGTACGCAGTGTTCAGTCTCCCCACACTTGGTTCTAATCGTTTCTAAAGGATCCTGTGAGGGGCAAAAGTGGTAAATCATGGGAATTTGCATCTAATTGGACTTAAATTATAAATTTTAGAATACAACACGTGTTATCAGATTTATAATACATACTGCTGGACGGCTTCTGAAACTACATACAATTGTTTGTCGGATTCTGAATCTGCAAACTAAATCAAATCATAAAAATGTAGGAGCCAAACAATTAATATTAGTTTCTGCAGAACAGAAATATAAAGTAGCAGAAATTGAGAAATTGTTTGGACACAAATCATTTGTACTGAGAATTTCTGAAATATTACTTTTATAGTTACTTTCCTCGACTGAACCAGACAACTGTATTTATATAATCATGGCCTTTTTAAATGTTGCCCATTTCTCTAATTAAAATGGTGTGTTGATCTGTGTTAAGGTATTTAATGTGATTAGTACACGTCACATACCATAACCATTTGTTTATAATCTGTTCAATATTTTAAATTAATATTCCATCTGTCATATTTATGTATGTATATATATGCATATATAATACCTTGTTAAATTCAACAGGTATATTTTCTACTTTCTTGTTTATTTCTAGCCTTTGAATTGTCATTGTACAAATGCCTTGTCTTTTTATGCTGCTGCAACACAAACAATTTCCAAAATTAAGATCAATAAAGTACCATCTTATCTTATGTTTGAGGTTTCAAATTATGTTTGAAATGATATTTTGTCCACAAAGCATATTCATAACATTAATGAACAACAAACTTACCACCATGTCTTCCTCCTCCTCTTCTTCTTCCTCCTCCTCTCCCTCCTCAGCAGGGGCATCTTCCTCCTGCTCATTGACAAAATAATGGATATTTATTTAGTTTTGCATGCCAAATATTATTTTAAAAAAGGAACATGGACTGCATTAAAGCTTCAGCTCAAATAATAATGCAGGTATAATTAAAATAATCAACTTATATAACCAACAAACCAATATAAAATGCCGGTGTTACACCCAGAGGTAACCTGTGACCAATCACAGTAAAATTAGACATCTTGACAAACGTTAATTAATGTGTTAATATTTAAGCTCCGAGTCATATCTTCAAAGCAACCGACACTCAGCTCGTTACAGCGCAGATAGCGTTAGTGTTGATGTTGGGTAACATGGACCAACAAATAGCCCTACAAAAAAGCGACTTTTTAGAAACGTATAGGTATTTTTCAGTACCTCCTCGTCGGGGTCATCGTACTGGACCATCTTCTTCTCGAAACCCATGATTACTCCTCTAAAATGTACAAAGTATCCCCACAGAGGACAGAATTCAAGAACTCGTCTGCGGCACTTTTCGTTAAGGACGTAAGGTCGGTCACAAGCAGGAAATAGCGAGCTGATAACCGGAAAGCGTTTTCTATTGGTGTAAAGTGATAACTGAGGGGGCTTTGGTCCAATCATTGAATTGTATTTTCTGTAATCCCCCGCCCATAAAGGCAGTCAAGGCAAGTGGAACCTTTGTTTTGGCTGACGGAGCGGAGACGGACCAAAAAGATAGCTGCACGGCAAGATGGCGCTGCTCATGGAGACCAGACTGCTACTGAGAAAAGTTAAAGATTTAAGATGTCTAACGCAAAAACGTCACCGAGTGAAGGAAAAATGGGTATGTAGTGGATGCAGATATAGATATATAGCCGATCATGGTCGTTATCTGTAAAACAGTTGCTCCCTTTGAGGTGTTAAATTAACTTCATGTCCTAAGCCATCCAGAATATCTGCTATAGCAATATAGAGTAAACGTTTAAAATGGATAGATTACATTTACACATGCATTACTATGGCGAACTTAATCAATGATATCTTGATTGAAGTTAAACAAACTGTGTTAAGATACATGACATTTTCAATTTTCTTCTCTAGCTAAATATGCATCAACATACATTCACTATTGTTTTCCTATAGAGTTTACTTATTATGTGTATAATTGTATTACATTTCCATTACATCACAATACATTTTCATATTTCAAAGAATATATAACTATGCACCAACATGACCTTTAAAACCCTGCGTTAAGCCAATTTGTTTAACTTAACTAATTAAACTAACACATAAACAGATAAGAACATCAAAGCATGTAACCTGTGTTTTTGATCTCCCTCCTTTCCGACAGGCTTCCACACGGATCAAGCACCCTGCCACCGGCCTGGCCCTGCAGAACTTCGATTCCATCTACAGCGGCCAGCTGGGGCTGCTGTGGCCATCCGTCCGAGCCGCCCTGTTGTCAGAGAGGAAATACGGCGCCTTGCTCAATAACTACGGCCATGATGATGTTCAGGCAGAGCTCCAAGCCAAGGGATGCAAAGATTTCCCCAGTGACATAGAAACAGAAGGTGGGTGTGCATTTCTCCTCTTCCTACGAAGCCATATCAAGCATGGCACACAGAATTAAAAACAAAACAAAAAAATAAATCATGCCATTTGTTAGGGCTGCACATATATTTCGTTTTTTTTTAAATCGACTTCAGTGTTTCCCACAGATTTGAAATATACTTGGGGGGGTGGTGGTAGCGGAGGGGGGGGGGGGGGTTGAGGTGACGTGCAAAAACATTAACATTAACCTTTCTGTTGGTCGCTTGTTGGCAGACCCTTCACACGATGGCAGAGCGAACAGGTACAGGCAGGGCCCATAGTGATAGCCCTATGGTTTAAATCTACTACCCACAAATAAATAAATTCTCTAGGGGGGTCCGGGGTATGCTCCCCCGGTAAAAATTTCTTTTAAATGTTGGAGTTCAATGTATCAATCTGGTGCATTTTGAGGGGAAAATAAAGAGACTAGATATATGGGAACACCTACAGTGGGGCAAAAAGGTATTTAGTCAGCCACCAATTGTGCAAGTTCTCCCACTTAAAAAGATGAGAGAGGCCTGTAATTGTCATCCTAGGTATACCTCAACTATGAGAGACAGAATGAGAAAGAAAATCACATTGTCTGATTTTTAAAGAATTTATTTGCAAATTATGGTGGAAAATAAGTATTTGGTCAATAACAAAAGTTCATCTCAATACGTTGTTAAATACCCTTTGTTGGCAATGACAGAGGTCAAACGTTTTCTGTAAGTCTTCACAAGGTTTTCACACACTGTTGCTGGTATTTCGGCCCATTCCTCCATGCAGATCTCCTCTAGAGCAGTGATGTTTTTGTCGCTGGGCAACACGGACTTTCAACTCCCTCCAAAGATTTTCTATGAGGTTGAGATCTGGAGACTGGCTAGGCCACTCCAGGACCTTGAAATGCTTCTTACGAAGCCACTCCTTCGTTGCCCGGGCGGTGTGTTTTGGGATCATTGTCATGCTGAAAGACTCAGCCACGTTTCATCTTCAATGCCCTTGCTGATGGAAGGAGGTTGTCACTCAAAATCTCACGATGCATGGCCCCATTCATTCTTTCCTTTACACGGATCAGTCGTCCTGGTCCCTTTGCAGAAAAACAGTCGCAAAGCATGATGTTTCCACCCCCATGTTTCACAGTAGGTATGGTGTTCTTTGGATGCAACTCAGCATTCTTTCTCCTCCAAACACGTCTAGTTGAGTTTTTACCAAAAAGTTCTATTTTGGTTTCATCTGACCATATGACATTCTCCCAATCTTCTTCTGGATCATCTAAATGCTCTCTAGCAAACTTCAGACGGGCCTGGACATGTACTGGCTTAAGCAGGGGGACACGTCTGGCACTGCAGGATTTGAGTCCCTGGCGGCGTAGTGTGTTACTGATGGTAGCCTTTGTTACTTTGGTCCCAGCTCTCTGCAGGTCATTGACTAGGTCCCCCCGTGTGGTTCTGGGATTTTTGCTCACCGTTCTTGTGATCATTTTGACCCCACGGGGTGAGATCTTGCGTGGAGCCCCAGATCGAGGGAGATTATCAGTGGTCTTGTATGTCTTCCATTTTCTAATAATTGCTCCCACAGTTGATTTCTTCACACCAAGCTGCTTACCTATTGCAGATTCAGTATTCCCAGCCTGGTGCAGGTCTACAATTTTGTTTCTGGTGTCCTTTGACAGCTCTTTGGTCTTGGCCATCGTGGAGTTTGGAGTGTGACTGTTTGAGGTTGTGGACAGGTGTCTTTTATACTGATAACGAGTTCAAACAGGTGCCATTAATACAGTTAACAAGTGGAGGACAGATGAGGCTCTTAAAGAAGAAGTTACAGGTCTGTGAGAGCCAGAAATCTTGTTTGTTTGTAGGTGACCAAATACTTATTTTACCGAGGAATTTACCAATGAATTCATTAAAAATCCTACAATGTGATTTCCTGGATTCTTTCCCCCCATTCTGTCTCTCATAGTTGAAGTGTACCTAGGATGAAAATTACAGGCCTCTCATCTTTTTAAGTGGGAGAACTTGCACAATTGGTGGCTGACTAAATACTTTTTTGCCCCACTGTATATGAAACAGAACTGTATACATTTCAATAATCATACAATCAGGGCCATAACCAATAACATATCCCATATGAAAAAACACGACACCCTCAAATGGAAATATGTGTTTACATAAATGGTGACCAAACCGTTTGAGACCCACTGAGAACTTAGACTAAGTTAACTATCTAAACACTTACCTCACCTGAGCTGAGGTTATCCCGAGCTTGAATGACACACAGAGACCAATCAAGGGCTTTGATTTATGATCTGTATGACAGTGGCCATGTCGGCCACATCATGTAGACAGCCAGTCACCCTGTGTGAGGCAGGCCACTTAACAGGCCAGGCCATCGGGAAACCCCCCGGTCCTCCCGATGGCCTCGACTGGGTACAGGAGGCGTAGAGCGAGGGATCATTGTCCACAAGTGAATCGATCGCAGATGGCGTCGTGGTCACGGACGAAAAAGAAAAAAAGAATTATAAAAAAAACAAAAAACCTAAATGGGTCGCGAAATATACTTGGGTGGCCGTTAATACACCTGGGCGGCCCGCCCAAGTATAATCTATGTGTGGGAAACCCTGGACTTGGATATTGACATTTCCTTTTTCAAGTTAACTTAAAAGAAGGGTATCTGCACTTTATTAGGTAACTCATTCTTTTTTTTCTGTGCCTTTTTTTTCTTTTGGGTCAATTTGTTCATGGAAAATTGATGTTTGAAAAGCTTTCCTTTTTTTTCCCAAGTGATTTATTTTATTCAAAGGGTGTACTGAAATCAGATGAAAGTGCAGGGTAGATTTTAAAATACACAATATAGCACGTTGTAATTAACACCAGAGGCCTGACCAGGATACAAAAAAAGAACAACACAATTCAAAGTAAGAGTTAATGAAAGCCATTAGCCTAATAAAATAACAGCAGCTCAAGAGTTCTGTTACATATCAAATACATATTAGTTCATATCGTTATATACTACAATTATGACATAAACCAGAACGTTCGTTATTTACCTATTTCCCTTGAACATTGTGTATGAGAGAAATGGCACATTTTAAAGGAAAGAAAATGGGGAAATGAATATAAAAAAGCCAATTGCAAGTATGTCTTCTTTTAAAGTCATATTAAACTCAATCTTTTTCTATGTTGTTTGAAAATGATCCATTCTACTTCCTTCATGGGTTCTACAGCTCAGCCATGCTTGGAGCAAGAACCAGCAGTGGCCGGCGAGGAGGAATCCAGTCATGTTTCTGTGAATAAATCTGACCTTGATGCTCAGCAGCATCCTGCTCTGCAGCTCAGCCCCAACATCAAGTGCTTGGTGTTTCCAAGAGGGGACATCACACGATTCAAGCCTGCTAGGTAAGCTTATCTGTTAGTTATAGTCAATTCTTAAGGCCTTTTTAAAGCTCTGTATTTTATAATTCAATAATTATAATATATATATTTTTAAATGGTTCAACAGTCAACAGGACCATTTATATCATGTCAAATGTCTTTGAACACTCAAAGTGTATTCTGATTCCTTTTTGTCCTCTAAAGACCAGACATGTTTGGGTGTTTGGGTTACTACCTGATGGACGCAGCGTCTGTGCTGCCTTGTCTTGCACTGAACGTCCAGGAAGGTCACAATGTGCTTGACCTCTGTGCTGCTCCAGGAGGAAAGACCCTGGCTTTACTTCAGACCAAGTCTATAGGTAAGAGGGCTTCTCCCATCCTTCTGTTTTCCTCACACAGTGCTTCTGTCAGCTGTAATTAACCCTCCATCGGTTGCATTCAAAGGTTTTTTCGGCATAAATGACGCCTCCGTTTCTAGGACAACGAGACTGAGAAAAGTCCTTCACAGCTACGTTCCCAAGCCGCTTTTGTCAGACGAGAAACTACGCATCACCACCTTTGATGGGACCAAGTGGGGGGAGATTGAAAAGAACACTTTTGACAGAGTAAGTCTCTG